CGCCTTTACAATTGATCTACTTGCTGCTGCAGAACCATGAAAAATACAACAAGTCAAACAACATATGAGCTGATTTAACTGTTGGAAAGCAGCAGCCTGCGGTGTGAAGGATGGTACTTTTTTTTAAGTCAGTGGCTAACAGAGTTACCGGGCGGCACTAGCTGTGGCTGCAACCCTCTCCCTGTCTGAAATGTGTCCTTAAACGATATCTGATGTGACTTAAAATCCCCAAAATATGTAATCAATCCAAAAGGGACAGTGACAAAATATAAGCATTCAGCAATAACCTTGTAAATCCTTAGCTGAAGACTTTTCTTTTTGCCGCTGCTTTGAATTGAACTATTCACATCTTACACTGCCCTGTAACTTTTATTCATGTATTATTCATGTTTTATTATCTTTGCTTTTTAATGTTTCTAATGTGTTTTATGCTCTTAATGTCTTTCATTTTTGTAAAGCACTTTGAATTACATTACATTACATGTCATTTGTTAGACGCTTTTATCCAAAACGACTTACATACATTCAGTACTGTGGACAATCCCCACAGGAGCAATTTGGGGTGAAGTGTCTTGCCCAGGGACACAACAACATGCTGACTGCAGTGGGACTCGAACTTGCTGATTCAAAGTCAGCACACTATCCACTGAGCCACAGCCTCCCTTGCCTTGTGTTGAAAAGTGTTATATAAATAAACTTGCCTTGCCTTAGCTAGTCTTTCTTGATTGACAAAAAAACCAGAGAGCAATTACTGGTGGGCTAAATAACACTTCGACCAAAAGACATAAAAAGTATCGTATTGTTTCCTCGATTAGTCGATGCAGAACAATTCTTCCAATCGTTACGGTAATAAAACAATTCCCGCTGAGCGCAGTGAGCAGGGTTGATGCTGCTCCTATTCCCATGGAAATCGTTCTTCCATTCCAATGATTTCACATATTCTGAACAACGCATTTTGACCCTGAAGCGCTCCTCCCTACCTCCGACTCCCCCCCCACCCCAATCGATGAGCTTTGCAGTTGTTTAACCTGCCCGGCTCTCCCTCTTGAGTGTGGAGCAGGTGACACATCACATTAATAAATAAATGAGCGGGTGGGAGTGGAGCACTCATCACAGCTCCAATGATGGGACAATTATCTCATAGTAAACAACGCTCTGCCATCGCCTGCCACAATCGAACGGATCAATAGGGCTCGGAGGGCAGATAGAAAAGGGGGGGGGGAGTCAGAGGCGGAGGGAGGGAGACAGAGGTGAGGCAGATGGAAACGCAAGGAGAAAAACAAAGAGGTAAACATAAACATAGATGTAACGCACCCTCAGGTGATGTTAACAGACCCTCTGGTGGCTGTATTGGAAGACAGCTCTTGTTTGCATCGCTGGCTTTGACTTGAATGTTTCCACACAATAGACTAGATTTAAAATGTATATAGTTTGCCCTAACAATCCCAACTCAAGCTCCATTTAATAGTTTTAATTTCTTAGTAGCTATAGACAGTAAACCAAACTAGATATCTCCCCAGGATATCTTTCCTGTAGTCCAACTTTTTCAACTTTGAATTAAATGCTATTAATATGCTTTCGAAGTAGCTTTCCCATAAATGTATATATGTTTTTGGGGAGGCGTGTGGTGCAGTGGGTTGTGCGTTGGTGTTCGGATCAGGGGAGTCACAGGTTCAAACCCCACTGCAGTCAGCATGTCGTTGTGTCCCTGGGCAAGACACTTCACCCCAAATTGCTCCTGTGGGGATTGCCCACAGTATTGAGTATGAAAGTCGCTTGGATAAAAGCGTCTAAGTGACATGTAATGTTTTTGTGAATATATTATGGGAAACTCTTATCCAAAGTGATATTTATGTTGTTTCCAAATTGCTGGATGTGTAATTAGAACAACTTTTAAAAGGTGATAATATGGCAAAAATAAACCCAGTCATTGCAGGTTTGAGGTTTGAATGTTATGTCATTGTGTGTTTTCTGTCTTAGTAACTTTTGTTCTCACAAAAGTCTATGATATTAAAAAAAGCTCTTTTAATATAATCTTAAAGGGGGCCTATTGTGCTTATGTTCAGGTTCATATATGTATTTTCTGCCTCTACTGTGAAATGTTTACATGCTTTAATGTTTAAAAAAGTATTTATTTTTCTCATATTGGAGTCAAATAGATGCGTTTCAGGTAGGCGTGTGTGGGAGAGAAACTCCATCTGGAGGGAACTTTGAGATGTTAGCCTTTGCAGACCATTTATATGCACAACAACCTATATAACATTGCATTACATGTCACTTGTTAGACGCTTTTATCCAAAGCGACTTACTTACTTACTTACTCAATACTGTGGGCAATCCCCACAGGAGCAATTTGGGGTGAAGTGTCTTGCCCAGGGACAAAACGACATGCTGACTGCAGTGGGGTTTGAACCTGTGACCTCCTGATCCGAATACCAACTCACAACCCACTGCACCACACGCCTCCCGCTACATATAACCCACTACAGGAAAGAGCAAACCCCAAAAAGCATAATAGTGCCTCTTCAACAACTTTCCAGAAATGATCTGTTATAATCTTTTTGCAACCTTACAGTACAATATTTAAATTACCACATGCCTTTATAGAAAGGCTTTCACTACACTTACTGTATCAGCAAAACATGTCATGTTGTTGAGGAGAAGCCTTGTCTACAAAGACAAGCAATATTCTGCCTTATTTTGAAACAGATCTTCAGACTGCACCTTTTGACTTGTAATATTACTCAGCTGACCCACACCCACACTGCAGCACTACTTTATCAGCTATCTGTTTTTCTGTCTGGTTGTTAGAAATATAACCATTACTCTCTCACACTGGCAATGCTTACTGTTGTTGCCATGCGACAGAACAGTAAAGCCTCGATACGCATAGAGACATAAGTGCACTAACGTACATGGGGTATGGACCCAACTATTTACAAAGCAGAGGTATGAACTGGATCAGAGAGCCGAGAGACGGGAGTTTGAAAGAGTGAGGTATAAAGACGGCCTTCAGTGGAGGCAGAGAGTCAGTCTTACTAACAAAGTAGAACACTGCTTGAGCCACAGACCATAATCTTCTCAGTAGGTGCTAAGTGCCTATAGCCACAGACAGACTTTTAATCCCGTTTTGATGAAGGTGGAGGGACAGCTTTACAGGATTCTATTTGTTATAAATGGCTTCAAGTTGATACAGTGCTTTGAAACCGGCCGTTTTATGAATCCGTGCCAGTGGGGGAATTTCTTTCCTTTATTCTTTTCGCCTGGGAACTTGGCTGTGATGACGGGAAATGGCAGGGTGGTTATATTGTCCCCTTTTACTGTTGCTTCTAATATATTTTCATGAACTCGTAATGTGGGTCTTGTTTCCAGCACATTTTTAGGAGGTATTTAATAGTCATTAGGCAAAGTGTTCGACTCACCAGAGTGCTTATTGAAGTACAGTTGTAACTGCAGTAAAGTATGTGTGCAATTTTGCAAAGGTTGTTGTTCTTTCTCTTTCAATGCTACACAAAGAAGATGAGAATGGATGCTATCAAGTGTCTTTACCTCTTAATGTTGTACTTGCACAGAGTTAAAGTCTATATCCATTAAAAATAACATATTATGTTATCAATGTGTTTCTATTCCTCACACGCTTATAAATCGGATACAAACCTTTATATTTAACACCACATGAAGTTAATCATCTCAGACCTCATATTTTGTCAGTGTGCTTTTTTAGTTACATGTTATATTGTTAAAAGCTTAAATTAAGAATGGAGACAGTGCACTTGAGTTCGCCTTCTCAAAGTCAGGCTGATGAGCCGTGAGCACTTGTCATTGTAATGAGGAAGCCTCATTATGAAGCAAATCACCCCGTTCTCTTAGGAATTCAGCATGAAGAGCAGATCTTTTAGGTAATTAATCCAGTACAGTGTTTTATTAACGCTGCCACTATTATCGAAACACACTCTTTACATGTACAGGCCTCACTGCAAAAACTGCAGATCTAACCAAGTGTAATAATCTTAAATTTAGATTCTAAATCGAGTTTGTCTTGATTTGAGTTTAAATAGCTTATCTAGTGCTTTCTATGGAAGATGTTTTGACTTAATTCAAGTAAATGTTACTTGCCTTGTCTTGATAAGCAACTTTGTCTTTATTTTAGTTATGTTTAACTAGAAACAAGGGACCTGTCTATAAAACATCCACTTCAAGGCTAAAAAGCCTTATTTTAAGCACTAGTATGGCAAGACGAAAAAAAATGAATTTCAAGCATCAGCTCTGTGGTCCCTGAGCAGTGAGGACACTGTTGGGAGGGGCTGCCAGCTACTCAGTACCCCCTCCCTCTTCCTTCAAGGAACGTCTCTTTCCCTTGTTATCTGGTCTCTTATTATCTATGGCATAAGCAATACTGGACAAAGAACAATATCTTAATTTCTGAGGTTGTGGTGCTTTTCATTTATCACACCAAACAATCCATGCCACATTACACATTTAAACATGAACAGCTTAACACACTATGTATGGCTGAGCGATATGGATAACAAAAAAAAAAATCACAATATCTTTGACTTTGATTTTCACACACTTCATCAGATGTGGACGACTATAACGATTGCTCTCAGTGGTGTGTGCGAATTTGGCGCTTGCTGCATTATTTAATTATGCGAAGACCCGCCCCTACTCTGCTTCTCATTGGCCCTGAAAGAAGAAAAACCTGGAATGTGCATCCATGTGGTGTTTGTATCTCTCATAAAGTCGGAAAATGTGTGACTTTATTTACCATGTGTTTGTCAGAAGCTGGATCAATGACAATATCCACTAAAAGATGTAAACAACGAATGCCAGTACTATAGTATTTACATCGAGAGATCCTCCTCAGTCCTCAGTGTTTACAAGTGGATGGCTGTTTGTGTCCAAATGATGGCAAACGGGGAATTTCCTATTTCACGAGGATCACCTGAACGCACCACAAGCCAAGCGCCAGTGGAATGTAACACGTTGTTCAGTTCACCTTCACCTTCACCAGAGAGGCAGGACAGCGACCAAGAAGTGCAGTTAAGGTAACGTTAGTAACTGAGCGTAGGAATAAAAGTCCATAGGCGTATGTAACATATTAGTGCTTTCAATTTATTAAGTATTAGTACATTCATTGGTTAACTGTTAGCTGAATTAGCTAAGATTGCTAGCTAACTACGAAGCACGTGTTGCTAGCTAACCTTAACCTCACTAATAATGGGGTATGTAAAAATTAAGCTAGCTAACGTTAACTACTCTCAGATAAATAAACTGTCTGTAAGGAACACACAATTAGCCGACGTTAATATCATAGTTTTCTTTTGGTATTCAGTCATTGTATCTGTTAAAAACTAGCAGCTAGTTAAAAACACAAAGGGTGGTGGTAGACTAGCTAACGTCGACCTAGCTAGTTCATAGTGAATCACAGCAATTTTACAATTTAGTGTCTGATGCCTTTTTTAATGTGATTTTTTTTGGGGTTGACTTTTAAAATGACAGTGGCCGTCTTTTCCTGTAAATTACAGAATGCTTCTTCATGGTGAGATGGATAGATTTGATGACACAACTGTGTCACTCTTAAAAAGGTAAATCTCTTGTTAATTATTTAGACATCTAACATCTGTTTGCTGTTTTCTCTGTATCAAAGTTCTATTGATTTTTACACTCAGGTTTTGGACGAGATGGGCCGAATTCTAGAGGCAGGCAACAAGAACTTCACTGACCAGATCAAAGCCAGATGGGAAAGCTTTTGCGAACATGCGCTGTTCTTTGGAGTGTGGAACAAGTCGTTGAAGCCACCAATGGGTCTGGATACATGTAAGCATAATGTATAGATAACACTGATGTTTTATAGGTTGGGGGTGACCATTTCATGGCCGCATGGGATGTGATTGTATTAGCTTATTTTCATTATTTTGATAGGACAGGATCTCCTTTTTGATGACTGAATGATGGCAAAATGGTAGTTATAAGGTAGTAGTGGTCACTAGAGGGTTTAAACACTACTACCTTATGTCATGTATGGTGACCCTTATTGTTTTGCTTTCCCTTGTGCAACTGACAAGTGCTTTTTATATCCCCTGCAGTGAAAGTGTCAGGGATATTATAAATTCACCCCGACCGCTGCCCCCCCCCCCCACTATCCAGCCAAACTTTCAGTTTGCTGATCCAATAACTGCAATCGTTTTTATTTCACTCTTTCATTTCGCTGTGCACATTCAATATCCCTAGGAGAACCGTTTGATGTTGGTGATCCCACGCTCTCTGTCTTAGCGCAACATTCAGGCCAATTTTGAAAAAAAAGTAGCACCAGTTTATGTACAATTTCCCAAGGTGACATTAAGATTCATGTCGCTTCAGGGATACGCATACACTGTCTTTCACCAACAGCATAGTTTTTCCATGATTATCTTATACTCCCTTGGGCTCTGCACAGAACTATTTTTTTGCTTTTGTGCTTACTTTTTTAGTTACACAACGCTTAATGTCAAAGTCAAATTGCCTAATAAAACAAGCACAATGCATTTGATCATGTATCCATGTTGTTTTTCAGCTGGCTAAGCGATTGCTTTCATGAAGGCACTTCCCTCAATGTTTCCTTCCCCAACTGCCCCACCCAAAAAGCTTGGGTCAGCAAGTGAGGCACTATTCCATGTTCTTGAGGTGAGTCTGAGTCAGTATCAGTTAAACTGAAATAAAACTTGATATGCCCTGAGGTTTAAGTTGTTTCTACTTTTTGTCTCTACTTTGTTTCTCTCAGCCATCCGAGGACCCCAATACGTTTCTCCAGAAACGGCACATCACCAGTCCAGTCATCCTAGACTCTACTAACCTCCTCCTGGCTGTTGGCAAAATCCCACTGATGACCCTACCTAAGGAAATGATCCACGAGGCTCCACTCATCCTGATGGGGTGTTTTAACACCTTCCACCTCACCTACCCCAAATGTGTTGCTACTCTCCTATCCGTCATCCAGACTGAGGTACTGAAGGACAGTATTCACGAGCGTGACCTTACTCATTCATACAACAATAGCAATAGCTGAATGGGCAGAATTCACAAAAAAGTAGAGAACTTGAATTCTGTGTCCAATGTTTGTAAGTTCTATGAGGATGTATATATGTTGAAGAGCTTTGTTCATTTAATAAATGATCCTGTTTGTTATGGACTGACTTAATAAAAACGTGTTTTTTGAAAGAATTGTCATGTTTACATATTTTAAGAGCATGTGTTCTAATTTATCTCCCTAAAAACAAGAATTTCATTTCATGTAACTTGTTATCGCTTTTATCCAAAGCGACTTACATTCTCAATACTGTGGGCAATCCCCAAAGGAACACTTTGGGGTGAAGTGTCTTCAGGGACACAACGACATGCTGACTGCAGTGGGGTTTGAACCTATGCTCCCCTGATCCCAACGCACTACCCACTGTGCCACACGTCTCCCTAAATCTCATTTTAAGTAATTTGATGCTAAAAGTACCCTAGTTTTGAGTGATAATAGGCTTCTTTTGCATTAAATAGGTTTAACTAGATTGCTTGAAATGAGTCTTTTTAATCTTGTATGTGCTATAATGATAGTCGGACAGCCTGACTTGTTTTAAGACATCTTATAAAGTGAAATTTGCTTACTGCACTGGCAGCCAAATGTGCTTGTTTTAAGTGCAAGCATGCTTATATCTAGAACGTTTGGCCTTAAATTTGACAGGGCGTTTTTGCATTGCTCAATTTGCACATTACCAAGGGTCAATAATATGTTAAATGAGACCAAAGCTGCTTATATCACTTTTTACTTTGTATATAATTGTTCTAACTTAACGAGATGATAAGGAACAAGGGATAGACTGAAAAAAAGTACTCAAGGAGCCTTGTCAAAAACAAGGACTCTGAAAATCATTGATTGTTTAAAAAAAACACATGTTCTCCAAAAAAGAACGCAAACGCAAGAGAGCTGTCACTTTCCAAACATCTATTTTGACTTCTCCCATGCAACGCCAATTCAGGGAATCATTCAGGCTGTCTTGTTTGTTTACTTCTCTATGCTTACCAGTTCAAATGACAAATAAGTGAGTTGCTCGGCTGGAGGAGGAACACTCCCAAAGAAAATCTCTGCTCTGAGTACGCTGTCATTCAGAGCTCTGATGTGAAAGTATAGCAGGACAGAGGGGATTAACATGTTACGATAAAAGATGCATTTACCCCCAACATTAATGTTTAATGTGTAAGAGCTACAGCCACTCCGACTCCAGTTTAGATTGAATTATTCACAGTACAGAGCTGTTCGGCGGCTCAACTTCCCGTCAGTTGTAGGGACGAAAAGACAGATACAGGATTCTGATCTGATGTAAAAATGTGTGTGAGGAAATGGACGCACACCAGAGTGTGTTTAGATGGAGTTGATGACTGTGCTTGATGTGGTGGCATCTCCGCACCTGCGCTGCCATCTGTGCCCTGCACCCCCTGTGCCCACTGTGCCTTGATGAGCACATCACACTTCTTCTGTCCTCTGGAAGGAAGAGACAAAAACTTTGGATTGGTATGTGCTTTAGAAGTACAACAAAAGACCTAATGGAAATGGCATTTTGACATTGAAATTTGGGGAAATAAGGCTCATTTGCCTTCTTGGCAGGAGTCGGGTGAGAAGTATTTATCACTCTAATGGCTGTACAGTAAATTAGCCGTTTAGCTTTGCAGAAAGGCTACACACAGGGAAAAGGCTAGCCTGGCCCTGAACCTCTCACACATTTATTAAGCAACTATCTTCTGTTTGGTCATCTGTGACTAAAATACGCGGTTTTATGGTTGGGTGTGTGACAATTACCCCTTAGACCGGTGTTTGTGTCTAGGATGACACTCAAAGTCGACGTCAATATTTATTTTGTCACAGTTGCTTGTCACTTGTGTGTCAACTGACTTGTTTGTCAATGAAGATAACGTCAAACGTGATCTTTTCCATAAAGAAGGTTTGTTTTTAAATGACACTACTCATGTGACAAACAGACATTTACATATATTACCTACCACACCTAAACTGATAGTAGAACCTTAAGGTCACAGACTAAGCTGCTGTTTTTGAAGAGTTGGGTTTAAGAATGTGTTGTTCGTAGATACACTTAACCATACCCTTATGTAGGTAAACGACTACAGCATGAATAGAGCAGTTCACATACTTCCTTTGTGCTACGTGTGACTGGAGGACCCAACTCAAACTGTATAGGAATCTCAGAGCAAAAGTGTCCCTGTGCAGAGTCAATGGCAAATCGTACAGAAGTGGACAGGTGGACTAGCCTGTGCTTTCAAAACTGAGACCAAGCAAAGTGAAGAAGAAAAGAATAAAAAAAGGGAAAATTAATAAGCAGAAGCTTAAAAAAGGACAAAGAAACTTATCGTGCTGGTGTAGTTCATTTAAGAATATTTTCTATGAAACAACCCCCTAAGGCCCACTGAAGAGAGGACATAATTAATTAGACAAACACAGCATTCCGACTTCATACACACACAAAAACGCACCCTTACAAGCCATGACAATAAAAGCATCTTAAATAGAAGTCTTGTGTCTAACACTTTCGCTAAGAGCTGCACTATTTCATTAGCGATGCGAGTTGTGTCCGTGCTGCATGCCTTAAAGGAGGATGGAGGGACATGGCTGGAGCATTTAGTGCACTGCACACATCTACTGTACAAAAGCAAAGAAAACCCCCAGAGAAGGCTGCCACCCCCCTGAGGGGCACTATGCGCCTCCTAAGTGGATCACTCTGCGTTGTCACAACGTTTTCATAAAGCTCGGTGGGACGGGGCTGTGTACGCCTTTCATCACCAGCAAACCTTAATGAGCTTTGTCAGGCTCGCTAATGCACTTGGTGGTTTCACTGAGAGTCTGCACATGTTTATGTGCTTTCTTTACCGTCTCAACACTATACAGGGAGGAAGAAAAAGTATTTGAATATTCAACTTGAGCCATTAACATATACAATTGTTGAGGCTATTGTTAGATCTCGGTCCCCCCCCCCCCCTGCTGTTTGTTTGCAGTGCGGTTCACTGTGTGGTCAGGGCTGGTCAAGGGCAGAGTGGGACGCTAACTCCGCTCTAATTGTTGCCGGTCATCGGTTAAATGTTCCCCCTGTTTCTCTCTCATGCCAAGAGGGGACATGTTAATGATGAGGGTGAAAATAAGAGAGGATAGAATCATGGAGGGAAAAAAAACCAAGATGAGGAGGAAGGGAAGGAGGTTAATCACAGAAGTAGTGAGCTTCTGAAGAGACCGTTTTAAGAAGAAAAAAGGCCATGATGAGTCAATCATGAGAAGGATGATGATGGTCTGGCAAAAGGCATTAAACATCCTCTCTTCCAAGGAATAAGCTATATGTACAAATCAAGAAGACGGGAGAAGTAAGAGGTTTATAATGGCAACTGATGGATATGACATGTTGACTGGAAGTACTGAAAGAAATAAGAAGGATAGCTCTGACGCTTTCACTTTTAACCAATAAGTAGTTCTGCTCCCCAGGTTTTTAAGGTTTCCTGAGGTTAACACACATCTCTGTGATTGAGAGCATTACTCTCAGACAGGCTTCACATTAAAACACCTTTTTCCTATTCTAATCCGTAGGCTCATTACAATATAAATGCAGTAAAAGACGTCAGTGTGGATCTTTGCAGGGGTGTCAGCTTTTTTTTCATTAGAGGCTGAAGCAGGTGTTGGAAGAGATGTGGATGGGGAGAAGTTACAACAGCACAGGGATAATAAGGGATAATGCTGGGCCTTTGATGTCTTCTACCTGTGCCGAGACGGCCTGTACAAAAATCACAATACAACAT